TATAAGGTTGCATGTAGAGTTAAGGATGCACCTCAAAAATCCATCGAAAAAGGTACTTTTAATGTTGAAAAATCCTTTGATTGATCATCTTGACATCGAGATGTATGACCATCAAAAATAAAAATATTTTAAATATAAAAAATAGTGCATTTTACAACATATTATCTACACCGTCCAATTTCAAGATTATCATATGTTTATAGATCTACTTGATTTTAACCATTTTTGAAATTTAAAATTTTATAATTAGATATAGAAATAAATTTTGAGATAATCCTAAGAACATTTTACATCAAAATAATATACCATAATAAAATTTAATGGCGCACCCTACCTCTACAGCTACGGATGCATTGTATGCAAAACTGCACCCATCAAAAAATATGTCATGTTCAATTACATTGGATGGTACAAATTGTAACAAAAAATTGAGAAACAAGATTTTTAGTTATTTGGGTTATTCATTATAAATGAACAATGGACACCCCAACACACAAACACCTTCCCCTCTATTAAAACATATTAAAAACTTCAGAAAATAGACAAATGGAAGGTGCCAACGGTACGATTTGCAACTGTGTGATGTTATGCAAGCATCGTTTTAAGTAGACCCAACCTAGAAAAAACATCAATCATAACTACAAAATGTGGTTCAAGGGTTGGGCAAGGGTTATGGCTGGCCAGCTTGAAAGGGCCATAAGCCAGGGCTGAGACCTGCCCAGGGCACCAGCCCAAGCTCGGCCTAACGATCCAGGAAAGGCCTAAGGCTGGCCATGCTGTAGGCCTACACCTTGGCAGCCCCAGGTTAAGGGTCTACTTTAGGGTGGGAATGGGTCAAGTAAGGTTTAGGTTGACCATGACTAAACCTGACCCGACTGGTTATACGTTGGACTCAAAACCGCCCACCTGAGGGTTGGATCCAAGTCTATAAATAAAAAAAATAAAAAACTTCATCTTATGTATTCCATATTTATAAACTTAATATGCTAATAATATGTACTATGTGGGGGTACCAAGGCCTGACCTAACTCGACAAGATCTAAGCTGGGATCCGGATAAAAAATGTGGGTCTAGGCCTTGACCCAGTCAAGTCAACCTGACCCAATTGCCACCCTTAGTTCATCCTTTTTCAAATCCAAATGTCTTCATTAAATCATCCGTATACTCAAGGCAGTGGTTCAAAAATAGTGTTTCAAAATTTGGATTCATGTTTCGAGCTTCAAACCGGTGTACACGATCGCAATTCGACTTGGCTAATTTGACAAAAAAAAGTGAGAAATAGAAAACCAGAGTCTAAACAGAAAACAAACTGAAATCTTGTTTTAAATCTTGGCTAATTTCCCGGCAGGTGCATGTTTTCAGAATTCTTTAGGAAAGGGCGTGGTGGTAGAATCCCCATTCCTAGTCACCACATTGTAGTTTTCATTCTAATACATCACTCCACTAACACCTTAAAAAATCTAACTCCTAAGCCACTTACAAAAACGGGCAAGGGTCTGACTTCCCCACAAAATTACCCACAAAAAAAAGAAAAAAGAAAAACCCTCTCTATGAACAAAAAAAAACCCAAATTGGTTTTTATAAATAATAATATACGATAAAAAATTGAAAATCTTCATATATTTGAATCAAGCAATATCATGCTTTTCAACACACACACACAACACATACACACACACACATATATATATATATATGGAAAAGTCTTCCCAACGCCTATAGGTGAAACTGAGTAGTGATTTCACCTACCGTCTAAGTTTCATTGCGCGGTCACCATTGTCCGGTAGTATTTTATTTTTATAAATTGAAATGACCCGAAATTTGAAAGGTATATACATCTTAATGAGACGCATCTAATAAAAATATAAAAAAAATTATCCATGAAACCAAAATTGACCAAAATACCCTCAAAATGTTCCAGGGGTATTTTGGTCAATTTTTTTCATGTCAAATATTTTTTATATTTTTTCGAAGATTCCCTTATTTTTGATGAATACACTCTCTAGATTTCAAGTCATTCCGATTAGTAGAAATAAAATGAAAAATGAAATACTACTAGACAATCGCGACCGCGAGATGAACTTTGGACAGTGATGGCGGTAGGTGAAATCACTGATTATTTTTTCCTACAAGTGTTGCGTAGTGTTTTTCATATATGGAAAATTCTTCCTAACGCCTATAGGAAAAAATGAACAGTGATTTAGCCTACCCTCATCACCGTCCAAGTTTCATCGCTCGGTCACGATTATCCGGTAATGTTTTATTTTTTTTATTTATTTTTATATAAATTGGAATGACTTGAAATTTAGAAGATATGTACATCTCATTGAGATGCATCTAATAAAATATAAAAACAATTATCCACGAAAATAAAATTGACCAAAATACCCCCAAAATATTTCAAGGGTATTTTGGTCAAATTTTTTCATGTAAAATATTTTTTTTATATTTTTCAAAGATTCCACTATTTTTTTTTAATACGCATTCCAAATTTCAATTAATTCCTATTTGTAAAAAATAATGAAAAATAAAATACTACCTTACAATCGTGACCGTGCGATGAACTTTCGACGGTGATGGGGGTAAGCGAAATCACTGTTCATTTTCGCCTATAGGAATTGCATAGTATTTTTCATATATGAAAAAATTTTCCTAACGCCTGTAGGCAAAAATGAACAGTGATTCGCCTACCCTCATCACTGTCCAAGTTTTATCACGCTGTCACGATTGTCTAGTAGTATTTTATTTTTAATTATTTTTTATATAAATCGGAATGACCTGAAATTTAGAAATATGTACATCTTACCGAGACGCATCTAATAAAAATGTAAAAAAAATTATCCATAAAAATAAAATTGACCAAAATACCCCCAAAATGATTCAGGGGTATTTTGATCAATTTTTTTTATATAAATATTTTTTTTATATTTTTCAAAGATTTTCCTATTTTCGATGAATACACATTCCAAATTTCAATTCATTTCGATTGGTAAAAAAAAAAATGAAATACTACCAGACAATTGTGACCGCGTTATGAACTTTCGACGGTGATGGGGATAGGCGAAATCACTGTTCATTTTCACATATAGGCATTGCGTAGTGTTTTCCATATATGGAAAAACCTTCCTAATGCCTATAGGCAAAAATGAATAGTGATTTCGCGTACCTTCATCACCGTCCAAGTTTCATCATTAGTCACGATTGTCCGATAGTATTTTAGTTTTAATTTTTTTTCTATAAATTGGAATGACTTGAAATTTGAAAATTTTGTACATCTTACCTAGATGCATCTAATAAAAATATAAAAAACATTATCTATGAAAATAATATTGACCAAAATACCCCTGATTCAGGGGTATTTTGGTCAATATTTTTCATATAAATATTTTTTTTATATTTTTTAAAGATTCCCCTATGTTTTATGAATACACATTCAAAATTTCAGGTCATTCTTATTTTTAGAAACAAAATGAAAAATAAAATACTACCGGACAATCGTGATCACGCGATGAACTTTGAACGGTGATGAGTGTAGGCAAAATCACTGTTCATTTTTCGCCTACAGGCATTGCATAGTTTTTTCCTCTATATATATATATATATATGATTTTTAAAATTTGATAGTTTTTTCCATAAATAAGACAGCTAGATCTTTTTCCATCATGGTTTTGATTAGAGAAATTGTAGAGCGCTCCAATGTGGATTTTTTTTATACAAGTTTTGTGAATCTTGGTTGAGAAAATCGAATTCTCTCATTTTTGGGATAGGTTTTATAGAACGTTGCAACCTTATATTGCAGATGTAAAGTGTACCTCATAAATCCAGTAGAAAAGAGTCATGTAGAAAATAGTGTTTCAAAGTTGGAAAACTTTCCAATTGATTATCTCAAAATTGAGATCTATGTTATAAAGAGAACAAGAAGTTAAAGTCTTAAAAGTAGTTTATTTTATAATAAGTTATCTGGATTGTCCATTTTCAAGATTTTGAAGTATCTATAGATCTACTCAATCTACACCGTTTTTAGAATCTAAAATTTAAAATTTTGTAATTAAGGTAAGGTTTTCAACACCATAACTATATCTTCTAACAAAATTTAGCGGTGTGCCTTACTTGTAGAGTATATGGTTGGCATCTTATATAAACCTCGCTCTTCTTTCATATATTGGATTTCCAAGTGATGGTGACCTCCTTATACCGAAAATAAATGGTCTCATAGTTCACAATCCCGAAAGATAAATTCTGCAAATTAGGACTAGAAAAGAAACCAACCCCCAAATTTTGAGCTTCTCATGTCTATGATAGGGTTTTTCTATCGTAAGATTTTTTATAAATATCGTATGGAGCAACCAGAGAAGATCAAAATGCAACAAATTTGAGAAAAAGTGGACTTAAACTATGAAGAGGTAAAAAATGCCTGATCTAGGTTTGATAGAGGGAATCAAACCCCAAATTTTGATCTTGTGAATTCGGATTTTGATCCCAAAATTTTGTTACGAGTATTGTAAAACCACTCTCAGAAGGATCAAAAGAGAGAGCCAAAAAGTTGGGATTTGGGCTTTTTTTTCTTCAAAAAAATGTTACAATACTTTTTGGGGGAATTGCCAATTTTTTCAGAGAGCTATTCCCGATTTCTGTCAGTGAAGAACAGGGTGACTCCCAAAAATCGGACTGGTTCCCGTTTCCGTAGGGGAACCGCGATGGTTCCCTATCCCTATCAATCTCAATGTAGATTGGCTTCTTTCAATCCAGATCAGCGATTTTTTTAACTCTGAATCCAAGAGTTAGAAAAATGCCCCAATCTGTTCTTTGAAAAACAACATCTTCTCTTTATGTTTCAGCTGGTAAAAATTGGAATTTCACAACCAGTCATCTCCTAAATTTCCTCCAGATTTCTTTTTCAAAATCTACAAGCAAGTAAAACAAACTGTTCCCCTTTAGTAACTGTTGATCCACCTAAACTTAAACATCATTTTAAGGTGACATAAATTAAGCTGGCACCATTAAAAAAGACAAGCACTTAGAATCTATTTATAATTTATTTCTTCCAAGAGGGAAGCAATAATATATTTACATGAATAGAGTACTAATTTTCAGTCTCCAAATAATAACACAACCACAACAAATTGGCAATGAGAACAAGAAGCAGCAGCGATCAGAATTAACCGTAATTCGTGGCAATGCGTATGCCAATTCTCTGACAAGTGCAACTTTCTCTTTCTCTGCATCTTTTTCTTTCTGTCCCCTTCTTCTTGAGAAAAAGATGACAGTCATATAACTTGAAGTAGTTCCGGAACCACCGCAACATCGATTGCATTGACCGAGTGTGCAGAGAGGGTAATATTCATCTCGGGTCCGACATTCTCGAGTGATGTTTTAAAAGGTAGCACCTTCATAACCACATCAATGCATAAATATATGGAAAAAGTTATATAAGTTTGTAACCTTGTACTGTAGAAAACAGGGAGACCTCTAAAATCCATTAAAAAAGGTTATTCCGATGCTGGAAAAACCCTTTCATTCGATCATCTTGACCTCGAGATATACAGATGTAGAAAAAAAAAATAAAGTCCCATAAATGGTGTCGATGTGAAATATATTTTCAGATCATCATTGAAATTTCTGCTACCAAAATTACATCTTTTGATGAACTTTGGAGGTGTCTTGGATTTTTTAAGGTTGACATCTTATACAAACCACACCCTAAGTATATATTACTGAATAACCCAGTGGATTAAGAAACATAAAAGGGGAATGATCTGGCGAATATGAAATACCACTATCAAGAAAACCATTCATAGATACCCAAGAAATGAAGAATAAAAAATTGGAATAAATGGAAAATTATAGATGCAGTCGGTTGTTAACTTGATTCTTGGGTTCTTTCAAATAAGCAAACATGCCCCCCCAAAACTTGTTGGTTCTACTGTAAAGCGTGATTTATGACTTCTCTCCTAACTTGTAAAGCAACGACTAATTACTCCGGAAGTTGGTATAAATAAGGGAGGAAAACGAACATTTTGATTTGTTTGTGATCCAAGCAACATCGCATTTCAGTTACAGCAGCTTTAGTAACTAGAAATCAATAATTGAGCACTATAGGCAATCAAAATTAAAAGATATCAAAAAGGAAAATGCTGATGGCTTACCTTGCTTGGATTTTCAAACGAGTTTTCATCCATCACGTTATTGGAAGTCAGTACTGTCATCTTCGACCCTGACGAACGGATGCTGTTTGAGCTCAATCCAGTTATGGTAATGTTCAGAGGCACCACACTATCGCCAAAGTTAACAACCTACAATCATACAAGATATTTCAATAAAAGATTTCGTAAGCACTGTAAAAACATACACCCTAGCGAAACAAACATTTGAGAGGGAGAGAGAGAAAAGAAAAGTACGTACAGAAATTAGTTGAAATAACTAAATTTTGTTCTCCAACTGAAACTTTTGTGAAAAGTATATGCTACATTGTACTTCGTTTTGTGTAGATTTTCCTTCTTGCTTATTATAGCAAAAGTTTCCTAGAGATCTTAGTCCAATATCATTCCTTCCAGAGCTTTTCCTTTGTTGCTTGTTCTTTTCATCCATATAGTTTACAAATTTCGAATCAAATTAATCACAAAATTGATCCTAAAGATGTGTGGCAACATTGAATTGGCCAGAATGATGGTCACGTCGTTACTCATTTTCCAAATGCAAAGAAGGAACAAAAAATAAACAAACGTAACAAATCATGGAAGAATCAAGATTCCAACATTGATTCAGCATGCACTCAATACCTTTATCCGTAAGTAATAATTGTCATCCTCTGAGCTTTGCCAAATTATTGAAGAGGATATCAGAAGATTTGAAGAACCTCCTTGGATCAGGGAAGGAACAACAGTTGCACCATTTGATTCCTTGAAAAATTGCTGTACCCAATAACTAGGAGTCCCATAGTGATGAGATGAATTGAAGACAATGGCATCTGGGTTCCACCTTTTAAATGATCAAGAGGGTAAAAATGGTGAGCAACTTGCATTCTTCGCTTAGTTTGGAACAAAAGGGAATCCATCAATGTACATAAAAACTTGCAGTAAATTAAAGAGCATACCGTCGATCATTTGAATTGACAAAAAGTGGTGCATAGCTTGCCATCTCCACAATATCACTGCCCAAGGTAAAAACCAGCAATGCAACCACATAAACAACCATAAAAAAATTAAATTTACGAAGAAAAATATTTACGACTCAAGTTTACTTATAAAATACAACACATTATAAGTGGAGTAAGCATTCAGTAAAAGAGAAAATATGGAACATTATGGGGAGGAAGCATTCTTATTCATTAGCTTATATGTGTACACAGGTTTTACTGATTCACCCTTTTGTCAAAGTCATGCCCAAATTGGTAACAACAAACAAATTACATAGATATTCCTTTTCAAGCTTAGCAAAATAAATCTATTAAGTTTTGTTCTTTGTGCAGCATATACAATCAAACATAAGTGAGATAGAGTTAAACATCAGTATATGACAGTTCACATTGTTTTCTCCTTTAGGTAACTTCACATTTTCGGTAAAGGTAATAGTACCATTCAGAATAGTAGTTAGGGGTATTAGCAGTACACGAGTATCTATCAGAAATTCACTTACATGCCAATAGTATGGTACCATAGATAACATGCTCAAGATGTTGTGACATAAAATACCATTTCCCTCGACTACTCAATGTTTCTGGACGGATTATTTTCCGGGGCCAAATGTGAAAATGAACTATATGTCAATATCAAGATGACATGCAATCAAGCCAATTATTTAATGTTTATGGTGATGAGGGATCTCATACTCCTCGTTGATAATTATCACCCTTGTTTTAAAATTGTGGTCTCCCAATGTGACGAATACCCTTGGACACCTTGCTAATTGTATATATTTCCAAGGAAACGATTTGAACTTGGGCTAGGGAGATAGCAGGGGTTGCTGTATATGACAATAAATGTTACTTCATTCTTTTTTTTTCTTTGAATCCAATGGACTCCTTTGTATTTTATATGGATCTACAGATGCTAGTAGCATTGTATTCATATATACACACTATGAGGGGACACTGAGTTTCTATAATCTACTCCTCGACTACCTCTTTCTTTCAGCCATATCATTTTTTTCAACATGCTAACATACAGATTTGTAGAAAAACACCAAGGCACACAGAGAGTTCAGGAGCAATCAGTTAAGAAGATGGAATCAGCAAGAGCTTAAGTGAACCTATTCTTTTCCAGCCCAATAAGGAAACCAGCTTCTGCTATTGCTGCCAAGAGACTTCCAGTCCCAGCATCTTTTCCATTCACAGCATATTCACTAACAAAAATCTACAACCACAGAGTGTACATTAATCTTAATAACTGAAAAGGAAAAAGTCAAGCTTGTGATTCATGTTAGCACACCTTTGGTCCAGTACGTGGTGTATTATCGAATTGATGAGCCATCTTAAACAATTTGCTTGCTGAAGTGTAGACCTATCAATCATAGAAGACAAAGTTCAACACTTCAATTCAACTGTCAGAGCATTAGAAGCTTCTGCTGATTAAAAATATTCAAAAAGTGCTTCCTTTATGTATCTCACATGAAAATCATATAAATCAGCAGGATGATCCAGTGGATGAGAAGATCCATCGCAATTTGAGATGATTTTGATGTCAGGGTATGCATTTTTAAAGGCACTGTAGAACTTCATGTAATTTCCTGAATAAATATCACGTTGAATTCAGGTAAGAGATTGGAACCCAAAAGAACTGTAAAGTTACAACACTCAGTGATAACATACTTGAATGACGTTACCAAGTGAAGTCCATAAACACAAGCACCTTTAACCACATTAGAGGGATTTTCTTCTTTCTATTTAATGGGAAGCTAACATGCATAGATTCACTAGGCAATTAACATTTCAGGAAGTTGGACGAGCCTAGTTACATGATATGCGATAGTAAAGCATGGAAGATCAAAACTGTTTTCCACAAGAACCAATAATATGTTTTCCATCTCTAGTGATGGTACTCATTATGCTTGATTATCTTATAAAAACTAACATGATGCTTTCTGGTTAATTATTCAGTATCTATGGGCTAGAAGAACATATAACAGACAAGTAGTACCAAGTTCTATTCTTCAAGAATTTAAGCCGTCAAAGTATATCAGAAACTTAGATCTTAGGAGATTCACAAATTCCATACAAAGGCAGAAAACAATGCTACACCTTCACCAGTCTGCTTTACACTAATGGTGTACACAACATGCAAATTTTAAAATTGTCTCTGATAATAAAGTTCCACGAGGTCAACTTCAACATTTTTTAAAGAAGTTTGGAAGCATTTTTTTGTTCCAACCTTTGTAATTCTTTTTCCCACAATCTTCATTTCCAATTGCCACATATTTCAATGGGAATGGTTCTGGATGTCCCATTGCTGCTCGAACAGATCCCCATTTTGATTTGGAATCGCCTATGGCAAATTCAATACTATCAAGAGCATCCTGCAAGATATAACAATAATAGATGCATTCAGAACCCCCTAATGATTTCATGCAAAGTGAGTGGCAACATTAACCTGAATAGTCATTAATTTAAAACTATGGAAAAATAACAAAGAAACGACAAAAACCATTCTTGTTCTCATCAATGTCATATTGTAACTTATATTACCAAGCACACATTGATCTTCCTGAAATCCAATACTATATACTTCCTGAAAGACCACTGCTGCAGAAGTACTGACCCTATAGGATGAAAGATCTGAACTGCAAAGAATTTATTGGTACTAAAAGCTAATTAATAAGTGTGACATTCTTATTTCATTTGCAATTCAAAGGGCTAAGAGTCCTTTTTTCTTTCGATTGCCTCCCCCCACCCCACTCTTTTTTTTTTTTTGTTCCTTTCTCCAAATGGCCGATTTTCCGCTGGGACCAGAACACCAATTCATTCAGACCTGGCCTATCCATCACCATTTGTGGCTTGAGATTCAGTCGGTAATGAGGTGGGACATCTCGTACGTCATACCTATCTCCAGCAGGCGCAGCTACATTCTCATCGCGCCTACGGAGTAGGATTCCATCAAAACAAGAATGTCACTCATCTAGTGATAAGTAATAACAGACATCATATTTCACAGTGCAAAAGTTATCAAATGATGCTTAGAAGATAGGAATATTTTTGGGGAGTTATATATAGATAGTTAGCTTAGCTTAGTTTGACTTCATTATACCATGTTCCTCATACAATAACTTGGTCTTATTTTATGGGAATTGAAACTAAACATAAGCAGTCAAACCAAAAGTACTTTCTCGACACAGAACAACCAAAAAAATCTGCAATGTGATTTATTAACTAAAATTATCTACTAAATCAATTAAAGTAAGATCTTGTCATGGACTGCGAGCTCAATAAGTAACTGTTAATTTGTAAAATATCTTGACATACCTTTACAAACGGTAAAATGCTCGAAGATGCAACCTGATCTGTATGACTAATTCCTACAAAATAGGAAAAACATCAATCAAATGCAACATAAAATAGAACCGGCCACCAACTGTCCTAGATTGGGTGTATAAAAGAGTGCGATTACAGAAACTTATCAAAAAACAAGCGTACCATTATTGACAACCCATATAGGTAAAGCACCTAGATCCTCAGCAAGCTGCAGTTTGTAAACAACAATAGAGACTCAAAGTTAAAGTAGCAAAATATCAATAATGGAGAGGTTTTTCTAGTCAAAAAAAAAAATATTGCAATTCTGGAAATAATTACACGCATACTTGGAGAAACTCAAAATATCCCAGCCCATCATCGGTCCAATAACCCCAAACATCACCAAAGTGTCCAGGCCTTGTTTCCCATGGGCCAATGGATGCTCTCCAGCGAAATGCATTTCTTAGCCACTCACCTTCAACATAACAGCCACCTATGATCACAGGGGCGAAATTAATTTGTAAATTATTCAAGAAGTGTTTCATCTAAGCATCTAAAGGATAAGCCTTAAGGACAGCAAACCAGGCGATAACAATATAAAAGAAATATTATAATATCTAACAATAACTCATTCAAAAACAAATATTAGAGAGATATTGTGATAACTAAAAAAACTACTGTACCATAACATCAATATTTACATTGCTTTGACTTACTGAACCTTTTGCTAGAGAATTGAATGCACAACTTCCATTTTTAAGAAATGTGGGAGGTATTAAGACTGAAAAATTAAATGGGCTGCCCTCCCAACTACCTTCCAAGCTTCTAAGCAAACTACTGAGTGAAAAGCAAAGCAAGCTTTATATCAGGGCATTGAAAGTTTGTGATTCCAAGCTTTTCACTTGGTAAGTTTGTGATTCCAAGCTTTTCACTAGTTTAAGAGTAGTTTGATTGAAATTTTAAACTAGTGAAAAGCAAAGCAAGCTTCAAACATTTATGGCAGATTCCTTTTTCATTTTAACATCCAAAGTTTCAACCGCATGTATGTAAATATGGACTGCCATATCTTTCAATGCCCTGATATAAAGTTTGCTGTGGAAAAATATGAAAAGATATTAAAAAAATAAAAAAATTCTTTAAATTAATTGCAATCCTTTTGCAAATGAACAGAAGGATTTCAAAGGCATAATTACTGTTTAACTAGAAATGATTGGTAGTTAATTTCACTGCACTCTACAAATATTAAATCATGTTACTTATTAAAAGCAATACCACCCCTTAAAGACCATTTAAACAGTTATAGGTAGCCGCAAACCTAAACGGCTTGTTATGAAGATTTTCAGTCAAACCCATTTGTTGAATATACCTGGAAATCGCATAAACCGTGGTTTTATATCAGCAAGCATATTTAACAGTCCCTCCCTGAAGCCATGCCCCTGGTATGGACAAGATGTTAATGATAACCAATACTAATCCAACACAACAAGTGAATGATATAAAATCTACAAGGACGTCCTCCTTTGAACAAAAAATGGTCATTAAGATTTAGGGAAAGCTTTACATGTGACTCCATCATATAATATATAGATATGACCCCTGCTCTCAGCCATCATATCTGAGTAGATAGCTAGGATAGCTTAAGTCACAATGCCACAAGTTGGCTCTCGAGCATCAAATCTTGATCCGACGGCTCAGAGTGTTTTATTTTATAAATCATTTTGCAACAAAATTTCGGGCATGCATACATCTGACATGGGCGCACATGAAAAAATAAATAAAAAATATTTCCTTTGATGGAAAATTACCACAATACCCTTGGACCTTTTGGGGGTATTTTGGTCATTTATTTTCATGAGAAATATTTTTTAAAATTTTTTCTAGGTGCGCCCCAATAAGAAGATGGGATGCCCCAAATTTCACTCAAAAATATTTTGCATAAAAAATAACAATAAAAATCAAACAATGTTTTGGTTTGACATTGTCACATGAGCAATCCTAACCATCCATTTAGAATCAACGGCTGAGAAGTGGAGTCACATATAATTTATATGTGGGTGGGGTCACACAGAAAGCTTTACCGCGAAAAACTCCCAAGTCTTCTTTTAGAAACAGAGCTTTGTAATATGAGCTTTCTTCCCCATATGCAGATCACAATGAGGATTAAAGTGAAATATAACTCCCAAAAAAAAAGCAAAACAAAATTGTGAATGATTGATGGTAAGGGATGAAATCAAAACGTTTATCTACAGCCGATACAAACACTTAAGAACAATAACTTTCATAGAGGAAAAATTAATCGATTCACAGTAGACATGTCACACCTAAGCATGAAAAAGAAGTCTACAGAAACTTTGGGCCTCTAAGTTTAGGTGTAAAAGTATTAAGAAGATGGAACCTGTAAGAGGAGGAAAAACTTCAAGGCTGGTCTTCAGTAGAAAGTGGAATAAGCAGCGGGCACAAGTACAAGAACTGAATACTCAATGAGTTTATTTCATGGGAGATTTTCAAATTTCTTGTTTTGTTCAAATATATCTTCAAGAGAAGCATTGTGAAAATTTAGAGAACCATAAAAATGACAGAGAAAAGGCACAGTACGGAAAAGAATTCATAAAATATTAAAGAAAAAAGTAATTCCAAATATTTGAAATGTATGTAAAAAAAAACATTTGAAGTGTATGTTGGATTCAAGGGTCCCAACAAGGTAGGTTGACCATGAAATACCAGGAAAAATAATAGACTGCAGGGATTTAAATAGTAGGTTGGCCAAAAACAAAAGAACTACAAATCCCCATGAATGAAGAGCACTTAAATTTTACAAGAGTAATCTCTTTTCCTCCAAATTTTTACTTTATAACAAATAATTTTATTTTTCAAGTACAAATACCTCACACAAAATTCTAAATATTTTCTTGGCAAATAAGAGAACATGATTGCACCACCAAATTTCTAGTTATATATAACAGCATGAGTGGAGAAAAGGATAAGATTCATCACCTGGAGAGAAAAATATATATTACATTCAACCCATAAAAATATTCCCATCATCCATTTCAACACTTCATTTTCAAAATCGAAAGACTGTGAGCTTTGTTTCACAGGTACAGAAATCTTCAGCTCTTTTTAGCTGACCAGAAAGGTTCAGGGGAAATTCGTTGCCGTACCTTGTAAGTATCTAATGGCATAGCCGATACTTGATCAATCCAAATTGAACCCATTTGGGTGGTAGTCAATGAAAGTATTGCATTATCGTCGGATCCCTTAGACTCCAATAGAAGTTCCTTCTTTGTCCACTTCTGCACATCAGAACTATCAGCTCTGCAGAAAATGTTGCAATAGAATAAATAGAATGTATAGATTTTACATCGAATCTTGCTTAAAAAAAAAAAAACACCATATTAGCAAATACAAATTGAATAAATTTTTCTTACATAACATTAGCAGTAGCCAAGCTTCGTAATCCATCTGAACTTGTAAATGCAACTGTAAGGTTCACTGATCCAGTTGACCTAATGTAGAAAACAACTTTATAGCTCTGCCCTTGTTCAATGTTCTGGAGAGATGGAGATGTATGAGGATCAAAAGGGCTATGTAATTAAATAGTGTCAGACTAAGATTGCAAATATGCAGACCTACCATCAGACAACCTTCCTCAAAAAAAATATGTAGACCTACCACCATAAAGGTAGTGTCCAAGTGAATCAAGTCACTGGGATCTCTCATACCAAAATTATTAAGAAACCATTAAATTACAATTAGAAATATTTTTCAGGAATGGAGCATATAGAGGACAGAGATAACAAGCATCATGCAGATTTCTAGAATCTTTGCATTTATATGAATGAAAGCCAGTTAAGCACTTATTTGACACAGAAATCAGCAGCTTCCGTTTATATGTGGAGGATCATACCATGACAATCGGCAGAAACCAGCCAAATTTCGGAACAAATCTATAATGAACCAACCAAAATTTAGAGATAGTACTCCTATTCACTTCCCAAAGCAGTATCCTGTTTTTCTACATATGAAGCTAGAATACAGAATCTATTTCGATAAAATCCATAATTTTTCCTACTTCCTTTTAAAATCAGTAATTTTTATGAGTGAATATCACAAAATTGGTCTGATATATGAATAGATCGGTTCCACCACAGCCTAAGCATCTCTGTTTCTGCACTGTTCAATTCCATTCTGAGAATCAAATAATATCATCAAGCCTTTTAGAAACTTAAAAAGTCGAGGAACTAAAGAACCAAAATATGATATGAAAATAATCAGTGTATGCAAAGGCTCATTGGCCTTTGCTATTAAATTGTAGGTTTTGTCAAAGCAACATCACAAATGTACCTAGTATAGAAAAGGAAGAAGAGGGAGGTGGGGGTGGAATGATTTTGAATATGACAAGAGACAACATACCATGCCCCAAAACCCAGGATTGTATATTCCAACTCCATCAGATGGACAAATATTGGAACCTTCAATATTGCATAACACTTCCATCCGGAGTGCAATTTGATTACGAGGGAAACAAGAGGAACGATCAGTCGATACAATTAATTGTGATTCATTACCAATCACAGACCAAGGGTCAATATTTGATGGAGTGTTGAGCCCACCAGCTTCGAAACCTGAAAAATGAATTTTGTAAGCTCACTAAGGTAGTCACATATGATTGCACATCAAAACTTGAAGAGTTGTTGTGATACATTTACATGTACTAAATAAGCTGCGACAAATTTCCATAACTTGAATGAAGCAATTCCTTGGAATGAGTGTACATATATACCCCCGTGTATACTACTTGCATAAACATACATAACACTGCATATGTATATAAGTATTCCAGCATAACCTAGATAGACTTGAATACATAAAAATGCAAACAAACATGCATGCATATATAGCACACATTTATATATACATATGCAAATATCTACAACACATGCAGACACAAATGAAGACATACATGCAAGCACAAAAGACTACGTTCTTTCTAGACATTAAAATACAATGAACAGAGGGTGAATACAAAAGGTCATTAACATATTTTGATACCGTATAATCATCAAATTCTAAGCCCTTTGGGGATCTAAGAACACCAACAAGCAAGAATTACCTCTATTGTTTACAAGCTCACTCCATATTCCACCAGCCCCAGCATGATTAATCTCCTGCACACAAAACGTTATGCTTAAATGAATGGCAATTCCAGAAAAAACATACTTGTTTAACCAATACAAAAAATGTTGTACACGAAGACGAAACATATGTAGAAGAGGGATCCCCTGTAGATAAATTCATAGACAACAAAGCTTTAGGCAATACTTTGCAGCTGGATGGGGAAATATTCAACCGACAATTCATCAATGAACTAAGAATTCAATGGATAGATCTTATTGATTGAATAAGTTCTAGTGAGTTGTGCGCCTTGACTATTGACAAATTGTTTTCAAATTTTTTAAAGAAAAATACTGAAGCCCAAATGAATTTCTAGCTCATAGAGGATCTTCTTTCCTTCTCTCTCTCTCTCTGTTTTTTTTTTCCCTCTTTTTCTTAATGATATTTCTCATGCTTATAAAATGGAATAGCTAATTCCAAAGAATTTTCCCTTTCCATGGTGTTTCTAGGTACTTGAAGCAACTACTTTAGCAAGTATTATGTGCTAAAAGAAGTCAAACTAATATGACCGGCACCTAAAATTTATTATAATTCCCACCTGATCATATGAAAAAACTTAAAACTTTACAGCATCCGTTTGTATTTTTCCCTTTGTAGGTTTTCTTGCGTGTTTTACTTTTCTGAAAACCAATCATATCAATTCTTGAGTTTAACAAATGCGAAACACAAATTTGAAGAAATAAAATATAGAGAAGAACTAGACATCATTCACCAATTTAGAATGATCATTTTGGCATCTCAATTGTTACGGATCAAGTATTGCCATGCCCAATTCACTCAAATGGATCACTATATATTGCTAAATAGCTTTACTTGCATTTCTCAGGCCAGAGGTTGTTTTACAATTAGGACATGTAGTCAGTGGGTCTACTATATGAATCCACTCCCACCAAGTCAGTAACATCAAGAGAAGATTGAATACACCACCAGGCTAGTCGAGTAAAAATCATAATCATTTTGCAGTAAAAGGTTTTTCGTAACAGCACCACAGTACCACTCATTTTGATATGCTGAATGTATTAGGAATAGTTAATAAAATTTACCTCAGATACCAAGCAATGACATTCTTTCATGAATAGCACATTAATGAGGTGATAATAACATGTAAACCACAAGAAATAACAAAAAAAATTGCCCTAAATAAATGCTCCAATTTTGTACCAGTCATCAATCAATTGCCAAAAAAATTAAGGAATTATAGAACCAGATATACCATGGTTCTAAGAAAAAGGTAGTGTTTCTGTTTTCTGCCTCCAATAACTTTCAAGATCAATCGAATTGAGTTAATTACAAAACCCATGGGGTTTCACGGCCCTTTCTCACATGTCAACAGTTGGATGATAATTAGTTAGTTATTATGAGATCGCTGAAAGCTCGTTACAAGTAGTTTTGAAAAAGCAAACTGGAAAATGATATGGCCATTTGAAAATTCAGAAATTCACCTCAAAAAATATGCCAAAAAGTGTCTCTGGGATTTGTCTCCCAGAATTGGCCTGAGCATCCACGATCAACTGAGTAGCCTGTTTTTTATCTGCAGCAAAGGCTTCAGTTTCAGAGAAGACGCATATCCCAATTACTCCAAAAACAAGAAATCCCAAACAACTTCCAAGGAAACCCATCTTCAGCTTCTCCACTGCTACAAAAACACAAAAAAAAACCAGACTTCAAATTCCAAATAAATTAAATTAACAGAGGAATCAATCAAACAAATGGTCCTCATAGTTCATTTCAAACATAACCCATTTTCACCTTCTGAAACAAAAAGCAAAGTACAAAAAGCAAACTTCAAACTCACGTAGAAATTATTCAAACTAAATGAAAGTACTGGTAATACGCACTCAAAACAAAAATCAGAACAAAACCCACACTGAAATTCCCAGAATCTAAGCTAATAAAGGAATCAAAGAAATCAGTTTCTGGTCCTGAGGGAGGTTTCTAACAGTGCAAGAATCAATATGAGAAAACCCACATAAAAATTATCAAGCTTCTGATTTGGAGCAAAAGAAAAAGAAAAAATAATTCAGAGACAGAACTGAAGGATGGTCACAGGACATGACATTGATGCTTTTCAAGTATTAAGATTTCACAAAAAAAAAAAAATCCATGCATGCAAATAATCTTATTTTCCAATAGAAAACAGAGTAAGAACCCAAACCAGACCTGAAACACTCAAAATCTTCAGATCAAGAGAAGAAACTAAGAGAATGGGCTTCACATGCCAATAGAGATAAGCTTATCAGTGGTATAAATAGAGGTTTTTCATGCATATCCATAACAACTTGCTGTTAGAACTGCAGAGGCTTTAATCTGGTTAGGATTCCATGAAAAAGGAGGTGTTTGCCCATGCCTTCACTGTAAAAGGCCTCAACAATAACAATAGCACCATGGATCAATCAATTTATAGTTGACCAAAATATGATCAATTAGTTTCACTGGTTGTAGTTGAGTGAAAAACAAGAGAGAGAAAGAGTTGTTGAATTATTGAGTGACAAAAAAGGAAAAGTTGAGGAATTCATGAAACAATAACAAGAGTAGAAATGGAGTACAAAATTGAAAGGGAATACAAAATGAGATTGTTTTCGCAGAGGGGAAGACAGTGAGAGAGAGCAGAGGGTGTCAGCGGTATTTTAGGAAATGAAATGAAAGTGTTGTTTTTTGTGATTAAACAATGATTGAAGGGATAAATGAAACTTGAAGGAAAGACAAAAGGAAGGACATCTTGTTGATAAAGAAAAAACCAAAATTATCCTTTCCTTGAATTTTCAGCCACGGCCACTGACTTTGAGAAAAGAACAACCACTGTCTATGAAGGCGATGTTAAGGGAAAATGTTTGTATAGAGCCGAGGCTCTAAACA